CCAGATTAAACTGGACTGGTGCAACCAGTCTATTTCATTAGGAGGGTGGTGAAACACTGGAATGCGTTACCTAGGGAGGTGGTGGAGTCTCCTTCCTTGGAGGTTTTTAAGGCCCGGCTTGACAAAGCCCTGGCTGGGATGATTTAGCTGGGAATTGGTCCTGCTTTGAGCAGGGGGTTGGACTAGATGACCTCTTGAGGTCCCTTCCAACTCTGATATTCTATGATTCTATGAATTGATGTACCCCATGTTGATAACCACGGCCTTAGGACCCAGTAACTGCTCCCTTGCAAAAGAAGCTCCAGAAGATTGAAAGACAGTTGATTTGTCCTGTAAACAGCTCCTACACACCATCAGCAGTGACCAAGACAGATGGTTTGTAGAACAAAAATGTTGGATTCACACTCTGCCATGAAATGGTTCCAGCAAGGGGACTACTGCTGAACATCATGCAAGATGCAGTGCAACAACTGGGCACCCAAGCTTCTGTTATTAGTGAGAAGAACATGAATACTTGTCTAGTAAAAAGAAGGAAACACTGAGAAACTGACTCCACTGAAACTCCAAAGGCACCCAATGAAATAGCAAGATGGGACTTCCATTATGAAGAGCTACAGCCTATGTAGAACATCAATACCAAAATACGGGGATACTGTATTTATTGCAACTGTAAAACATCATCTAAAGCTGGGAGGGAGAATGGGAAAGTAATCTGAGTTGCTTTAACCAAAAAATAATTAATAATTTAGTAAATTCAAATTATACTATAAAGAGCTCATTATTTCCTTGGTTTTAACACTAGAAATTATCAGCCATAATGCCAGTCACAATCAACACAACAGCAATAATAAAACAACCCCACTCTATGTTTAAGTTCTGAATGGGCTTTTGATGGGAGATAAGGGAGAATGATGTGGCATTTTTCTACATGAGCTGTTTCACAAAGCACTATTTTAGGTTGCACTCTATCCAAAATTGACATTCTATCATTTTATCGGAAAAGGAACCAAGGGCTGCCTGAAACTACCATTGTCCGAAGCAGTAATGTGCATCACAACTTGTAACAGAGCTTTCTTTTTCATCAATTTGTAAAAGCGTGTGCGTGTAGTGAGGACCTGTTGCTTTCCTTACGGAGCAAGCAGAGGGAGAGATGAGGTTTATGCCAAGAGCCCTAACTGAAGGGGACAGATAAATAGATTGAAACGTGGATGGTTTACACGCTCCAGCTGCGGCTTTGGAATAGGGCGCCGCGCCGAGCACACGGGGACGCAATCCAAGCACACGGGCAGATATTTAGGGTGGGTTTGACTCAGTCACACACACGAGATATTTCTCTCTCAGTGTCCAGCTCAGAATGCAAAATCCGGCGGGCTATTCGTGTGTCCCTCGTCATCTGCTCTCAGCACCCCCTCTTCTCCTCGCCGCCAGCCCGCTCCCCAGTCCCCGCTCTGCTCCTCCACCACCTGCACGCCCGAGAAGCGTGCGCCTCCCCGTGCTGCTCCGGGCCACCTCAGCCAGGCAGCTGGCCGGGTAAGGGCGGCAGCAGCCTCGCTGGGGCTTCCCTGCGCGACTGGGCCTGTGCAGCCGCTGTGCACATGCTCATCGGGGCCCCAGCGGCCGGGCGTCTGAGCATCTGAGGCGCCGGGGAGGGCAGCTCCTGGAGCAGGGCGGTTAGAGCGGGCGGTGGGTCTCCGGCCCCGCTGCGGGGCTCCGCAGCCCCTACCGGCCCGGGCCAGCGCCAGGCGGCGGCGGCGTGGCTCGGAGGGCAGGCGGGCGGCGACAGGCTGTGCCCCACTTTGTGTCCAATCAGAGCGTGCGGGGTGCGCGCGGAACAGGGCAGCAATGCGTAAACAAGCCTGGGAAACTCCTCCGCCCCCCGCGCCGCTCCCTCGCACTCCGCTCCGCCGTGCTCTCCCCCGGCTGGCTCCCGCAGCCTCCCCCGCCCTCCGGCTCCGGAGCGCCCTACCGTTACCCGCCTCCCCGCCGCCCGCGCTCCCCCCAAGCTCAGGGCCTCTTGAGGGAAGGTAAGGGATCCGTCTGCCCGCACGCCCGAGCAGGGGGCTGGGGAGCGTGTTCTGGGGTGCAGGGGGCGAGCAGGTGTCGTAACAAGTTGCTTAACGTGACATTGCTGTTGAATCATGTTGCAGGGAAGAGCAGCAGCAGCGAGGCAGGCTGGCAGGAGGGATGTGACAGGGGCTCCAAGGGACTGGAGCAGAGAGCCACAGAGTAACTTTCTCCTTTATTTCCCTTTAATTAGAGAGCCTGCTTCAGTGCGGGCAGAGGCTGAACGAGCTGAGATTTCTGGCTGGAGAGAGGGGGAGAGAGAGAGAGAACCTGAAATGTGTTTGGAAGAAGCTGCTGCAGTTTGTGATGCTTGTAGCTTCCTGCTGGGGACAGAGCAGCAGCAGCACATTCGCTGTTCGGTAACAAGCAGGTTTGCATTTGGCTTCTGCGTGTGCTTCCACCAAGGATTTTCCTAGCAAAGAGCCTAGGTGGTTAGTTAGTGAGGAATAGGTTCTGGTCTAGACCATCTGTTTCTAGGGTAATTATCTCTAGTTAATGCTCCATGGCAGGGTGGTTGGCGTCCGTTTTGGTTAGGCTGGATTATTATATAAGAAGAGAGACAGAAGTCCTCTGTTGCATAGAAAGCTGCTCCTGTGCATTTCTCTCTCCAAGTAGTTGGGGATCGAGGGACTAGTCACGGCCCAAAGGATATAGCCAGCGCAGAACCGGCAGACACACCTGTCAGCCCCCAGGCAAAACTGATGAGCTCTTTTTACACATACTGTTGGGTGCGTTTTCCAACGGTTGTGGTGGAAATGAAATATAGCCCATTGTATTTCCTCATTGCACATTTCCTTCCTCTTACTTTGGATATATCTCACTTTTAAAAAAATAAATATTTGAGCAAAAAAGTTTAAGAACTTGGTTTTTGCTTTGTTTTATTGAGCATGTTTAGTATGTTAGTATGATCTGGAGATGACTGAATGAATCATCTTCTCTATGGAATAAAGGCTGGTGAATCATCTCTCTCACACGTGTGTACATACACACACAAAATACATTGTTGTTGATAGTGAAAGATCAATGTCAGTTTCTGAAACAGTGGGAGGGGGGTAGGATGTACTTTGCACCCACCCCGGTTTCCTGAGGCTAGTTCATGAGCTGTGAAAGTCTTGCAACATAAACTGTTATTTTCTTGGCACAGTAAGAAGATAGCTCATTGAGTGGTAACCTCTGCCTTTATGAACTAACCAACCCTTTGATTTCCTTACTATCTTAAATGATATTAAAGTTGCCAATATCTCATCACTGATATTTGGGGTGCAGGTCAGGATGCAGTATGCTATTTTAAATCAGATTTGAATAGGAAAAATATGAAATTGTATAGTTATATCTGTAAAACATAGGCCAAGGACATTCTTTGTCAGATACAAAGGTTTTTAAAAGAGTTTTGGTTGTAGGCCAAAATAATTTATCTATTTCAAAATAAAAGTTTGTTCCAAGCATTCTGTATTTTGGGGGGAAGCTGAGCCAATTTACTCAATAAATGTGCTACAGTTGCAACCTTACATAAACTACAGTCTGATCTGGTCCTTTAAAGTTGATGGCCATTGACTCCACTGAGACTATTACTGGGTCCTTAGTATACAGCTTCTCTCTGGAATTCCATTTGCATACCTTCCACTTTTCCTTGACTTCTGTCTCCTGTCTTCTTGTATGGAGGAGGCAGTGACATGAAGTTTACAATTCCTCTCCTTCCCTGTGGTGCCAACCTGCATTCAAGAATGAAGCAGCCAAGTATAGCAGGGGAAAGTGCTGTACACATGCAGGCACCTGCAATCCAAAAACATAAATACTGTGTCAAGTGTGCGTGTGTGCATATGACAGTCTCCATTCATTTAAACCCCCACTTTCTTGTCTGGTCGTCGTACATTTTTATTTCTATGGCCTTACCAAATTCATGGTCCATTTTGGTCAATTTCCAATTGGTCATAGGATTTTTAAAATCATAAATTTCAGGATTTCAGGTATTTAAATCTCAAATGTCATGGTGTTGTAACTGTAGGGGTCCTGACTCAAAATGGGGTTGTGTAGGCAGGGCCGGCTTTAGCAAGAGCGGGGCCCGATTCCTGGGGGCGTGGCTTGCCACAAGCCCCGCCCCCAGGAATCGGGCCCCGCTCTGGCCGGAGCTCCAGCCGGGGTCGTGGGGCTTGGGTCTGGCCCGGAGCCGCTCAGCCGGGGCCGGGCTGGAGCTGAGCTGGGGGGCTGGGCCAGACCCGAGCCGGGCCAGGGGGCTGGACCCGAGCCGGGCTGGGGGGCCGGGCCCAAGCCGAGCCAAGCCGCGGGGGCCGGGCCCAAGCCAAGCCAAGCCGCGGGGGCCGGGCCCGAGCTGAGCCGCGGGGGCCGGGCCGGGCCAGGCCGGGCCCAAGCTGAGTTGCGAGGGCCGGGCCCGGCCCAAGCCAAGGGAGCTGGGCCGGAGCCGAGCCGAGCTGCGGGGCCTGGGCCAGACCTGAGCCGAGCCGCGGGGGCCGGAACGGAGCCAAGCCAAGCGGGCCGGGCCGGCGCGCTCGGCCAGAACCGGGGCCGGCGCTCCGGGGCCGGAGCTGCTGGGGCCGGAGGTGCTCGGCCGGGGCCGGACTGGGCCGCGCCTCCCCGGAGCGCTTCTCACGTCCCCCTCCCACACCCCTGACTCCGCTTACCAGGTGCTGCCTGCCTGCCCCTGCTTCTTTTCTGACTTCCCGCGAACCTCTGATTCGCGGGAAGCAGGGGCAGGGGAGGAGCAGGGGGCGGAGCGTGCAGAGGAGGGGAGGAGGGGGAAGTGATCTGGGAGCGGGGTGGAGAGCTCTTAGCGCGGGGCCCAATTCAGCCGGATCGGCTGAATCGGCCTAAAGCTGGCCCTGTGTGTAGGGGTAGCAAGGTTATCATAGGGAAGTTGCAGTATTGCCTTCGAGCTGAGTGGCTGGAGAGCGGTGGCTGCTGGCTGGAAACCTAGCTCTGAAGGCAGCACTGCTGCCAGCAGCAGTGCAGAAGTAAGAATGGCATGGTATCTTATTGCCACCCTTACTTCTGTGCTGCTGCCTTCAGAGCTGGGCCCTCAGCCAGCAGCTGCCACTCTCATGCCACACAGTTCTGAAGGCAGCATCGCAGAAGTAAGGGTGGCATGAAGAAGTGAGGTTTTTACCCACGAAAGCTTATGCCCAAATAAATCTGTTAGTCTTTAAGGTACCACCAGACTCCTTGTTGTTTTTGTAGATACAGACTAACACGGCCACCCCCTGATACATGGTATGGTATTGGCACTCTTACTTCTGCACTGCTGTTGGTGGGGCGCAGCCTTCAAAACTGGGTGCCCAGCCAGCAGCCACAACACTCTGGCCACCCAGCTCTGAAGGCAGCACAGGAGTAAGGGTGGCAATACCATGACTTCCCCCTGCAGCCCGCTTTTGGGTCTGGACCCCCAGTTTTAAAAATGCTGGTCTTCCCTGTGAAATCTGTATTGTATAGGGTAATAGTACACACAAGACCAGATTTCACACTCCATGACACGTTTTTCACAGCTTGGAATTTGATAGGGCCCTACTTATCTCTAATGGGCTGAGCTCCATACCTGCAGCTCTTCTCATGAAAGCAAACATGTTCATGGACAGGGTGACTGTTAGTGTCTCATACATTACTGTTAGGGGAGAGGGGGCATACCATCTTCTGTGTTCATACAGCGGTGAACACACTGGCACTTCATAAATAACAATTCTATATCAGCAGTGTAGCAGTTGGATGCAAAAAAGACTAGATTAATTCAGTGTTCACTCTAATCATTTTAACACTCAAATCAGGAAGTTCAGGAGTTAACAAGGGTTAGTCTGCATAGCGGTGGTAGCTCGGCAATATTGGACACACTAAACAACAGGAGGTATATTTAAATGAATAAAATATTCATCAGAAATAGGGGTACAATATGGCCATGTTAACACAGAAGTGGAAAATTTAGTTTGATATGTTTAAATTACCAACATTAACACTGCATTAATGTTTCTTTCATTGAATTTTCTTTAAAACATCAACAAACAAACAAAAAGAAGAAAATCCATATTCTATTTGGGTACTATTTGGCACAAAAGTGGAACTACACTTAAATAAGTAAGAAAATGGACTATCTGCTCCACTTTTTTCTTTTGTGTTTGGTGTACGCCATGGGATTCAAAGTAAAATTGAGAGATTGTAAATTTTGTTTCATTATAAAATACACAGATATTTGTTGCCAATTCCTACATGTTGTGCAAGGTAATAAAATAGGTTGAATTTATTTTGCTAGTTAAATATAAATCAAAATATAAAAGAGAGTAGGGCCAGAAAAGACCACTGTGTAACAGAATCTACCACCTTCCATTCTCCATTCACTCCATCATTCCTGTTAATGCCTTATCTAACCTGTTCTTGAATCTCTGTGGTATTGGTTCCTTGACCATTTCCCTTGATAGTCTAATCCTCTATTGTACTTTTTCTTAACTATTTTTTCAATCACTGTAGTGGTTGTGAAAAGTGCCAGCTTGACAGCCTTTGAGACTGAAGCCCTTTATCAACAGAAGGGGTATAGCACAGGCAGCAACCTCAATCATGTGGCAAGACAACTTTTAAGTTTACGTATGGGGAGAAGTGGTGTTTCAGTCTCCATTCTTTGTTCTCTCTATGAAATTTGGCTATAAAGGTACCTTTGTGGTGGTTTTGTGATATGAAGGATACATATTTTCACTTGTCAAGTAGGGACTGAACTATTGCCGCCACCACCTCTTTTTACATGTAAAACACTGAACGGCCCTCATATGGTAACAATTTATAGTGACTACTGACCCTATTCACATTTGATCTGGTAACCTAAAGGTGAAATGCTCATTTCCCATTACTAATTGCCAAATCCATCCAGTCCCCAAGAACTTTCCTAATAGCTACCCACACCTTTTTGTTCCTTAGGGTTAGGACATTGCTGCTTGTTCTGTCATCTTCTGAGACTAAATAATTTTCTTCCTTTATGCCATTACCTTAAATGTATGTATTTGTAAACTTGGAGTGCTTTTGCTGGGTTGATGTGTGAATTACAAATACAAACTGGTTATTTTAAATAAAGAAAATAGGAAAGAGGGGGAAAAAAAAGGTTAACCCCTCAGCCCTTGAAGATGTTTGGATACCACAGTCTATTTGCATGAGTGTTGCAGCTCCATGTTTGCTGGGTTGTAGGTTTATTCTGCTTGGTGCCAAGTGAGAGGTGTTGTTTTTTTGTTTTGTTTTTTTTCTAAATGGGCTTCCTCAGGCTTAGTGTGAAGTTGCATAAGGTATACAATTATTTTAACTGAATGGAGCTCAGTAGCAAGTTCATATCATTTAGTTTTAAAATGTTAATTGAATTTGAACTAACTAACCGCTTAAATTTCTTTA